GTTACTTCCCTGTCTTCATCTTCTTCACTTCTGACACAGCAGATCTCTTTTCTTGAAATAATGTTCTCTCTTTGGTTCTGTCATATAACACCTTTCTGTTTTGTTTTGTTTTGTTTTCCCTCCATCCCCATTCTCACTCACTGGATTTTTCTCCTCTTGCAACTTGCCTGGCGCCTCCGTTTTCTAATCTCTCCTCCCTTCTCCATCTGTATGCTTTCTCAGTGTCCTGGTTTAAATCCATCATAGGCTGGTGATGCACAAATCTTTATCTACAGTCCTAAGTATCCATGGAGGCTGAGTCCTTTACAAACAGCTGCATAGCTGATAGCTCTCCGTGGAGGTCATAAAAGTGCATCGCCTTGAACACACACCACGCAGAGCTCGTGAAGTTCTCCCAACTTACTCCCCTGCTTTCCCCATCTTAAGAAGTAACCCAACAATCCACTTTGTTGCTCAGATCCCAAGCTTGGTCCATCTTTCACAACCACCCACTTCTAACCCCTCAGCCTGTCCCACCAATTAGCATGTCCCTGAACGGGCCATCTTCCGCATGCTCACTGCTGTCCGTCTGGTCCCTTATCGCTAACCCAGGCCGCTAATGGAAACGGCTCTGCTTCCACGCGTGGTGCCCCTGCAGTCTCTCCTCCGTGCAGTATCCAGAATGGCACTTTGAAAATGTTACTCAGGTCATATAATTCTCCTGCTTAAAAGCCTCTCAGGGATTCTGATCACACTTAGAGGGAACTACGCACTCCTTACCGTTTACGGGCCTGTCTCAACTGGCCTGGACTGTCGTCCTGACCTTGGTCCACTTTTCTCTCCGCTGATATCACCACATTGCAGGTCACGAGCATCTTCCCATGTTGCAGTTTCTGCTGTCGTTCCACTGCCTGGGGCTCCCCTCCCTTGGAGCTTACCTGGCATGCCCCTTCGAAGTTTCAGTGGGTGACAGTGTTCGGGCAGGGTGGTTACTCAAGGGGTAGCTTTTCCCTGTTCCCTTGGAAGATCCACCCAATGGCTGAAGTGCAAGAGGTGTTATTCTTGTCATTGTCCCAAGTCCCCTGCCTGCCATTGATATCGCTCGTCAGTAGCAACATCACCAGTAGGTATCCATGAATACAGCCTGTGACTTGCAGTTCATGATTTATGCCCATATATTAAAATGTGTGTCGTGTGGGTCACCTGTGCAGATTCTGTGCCCCTTTTATATACACATAATAGCAAGAGAGTCAGAAAAAAAAAAGCATTTTTGCTAACTACGGAACTGTAACAAAACCATGGTCAGGCTGCTTATCTTGGCAAAAGTATCTGCTCTTTTTCGCCGCCAGTTAATAAAATGTATCATCACGGTAGGACACTCTTGGCTTACAGCACCTCGATGAGACTGCATGTTTAGCTACTGAAATAGAAATTTTCACCTTAAATGATATTGGAAATATTGAGGCATGAAAGCTCATTGATGGCAGCTTTCATGTGATTGTATGAAAAGGTATTCTGGTGGGCATGAATCTCCCTCTACAGACTCATTGCTTTACTGAGTTTTGCTTTCTTTCCGAGTCTGGATTATTAATCCTAAAACAGGGTTTATGCTTCCTGCTTTACATTGAGCTACTTATGAAGGATGTCACCAAACTGAGATAAGGTTAATGAGAAAACAAATATCACCCCCAGCAGTGGAGCCAGGGAAGGGACATAACCTCATGTTGATAATAACGATTTTTTTAAAGCATGGCCAAGGAAAGGGAAGGGACATCTGGGGGTGAGCAGATAATGCAATTCAGCTAGTTCCCTAGCCACGGCCCCATCATGGCACAGAGCTTTTCTCTGAGTTCATTAACCCCTAGCAGTGCTCACTAATACATCAGACTGGAGCTAATCGAACTGAAGGCTCATGATAAACTTTTCCTCTTCTGACTGGGGGAAAATGGATGAAGTTAAAGACAGTGGACAAGACTTTCCTCTGACTTGAGACTCCATAGCTCCCTGTGAATTGAGAAATAAACTGAAATATTAGGATATCACCCATTGGGAACACACACACACATCCCCTCATAAATACAGCACAATATGTGGTAATGACCCTGATCTAAGTTATTTAATGAACTCCAAGGAGAAAACCATGGCCAAGAGATTATTCCAGTAAAGACCACTGCCAAGGGATCTCTCATCTCCAGCACTCCCACAGACTGCACCACAAGTGCACTGCATTTCTGAAGAGAAAAATCACCGCTACCCTATAGAGTGAGAAGGGAGACAGGAAGTTGGCATACGGCCTCCAGAGAACCAACAAGATGTCTGCCCAGATTGGATCATCACAAACAAGATAGAATGCTGAATATGCAAACATAGGTCATGGAAAAATAGGCATCATAGGAGACAGGACACAATGGAACCAATTGGAAGAAAATTTAACTCAGAATGAAAGGAAAATGCTCATAATTGTTTCATGATATGAAACTCAAAAAAATTCACATTAAGAGGAACTTAGATATAAGCCAAAAGGAAAATGAAATGCAAAGGGAGGTTTCCAATGAGAGAAATAAAATTAGAATTAAAACACCATGATTATAGGTGAAAATAATGAATTAGATCAAGGAACAGATTAATTCCATTAAATATAAAATCATTAACATAGAGGAAAGATTTGAGATAATAGAATATATATGAAAATAGCTAATTAGAAAATGGGGGTCGCTGCGGTCGCCGCCATGAGTATGCTCAGGCTTCAGAAGAGGCTTGCCTCTAGTGTCCTCCGCTGTGGCAAAAAGAAGGTCTGGTTGGACCCCAATGAGACCAATGAAATCGCCAATGCCAACTCCCGTCAGCAGATTCGGAAGTTGATCAAAGATGGGATGACCATCCGGAAGCCTGTGACTGTCCATTCCCGAGCTCGGTGCCGGAAAAACACCTTGGCCCGTAGGAAGGGCAGGCATATGGGCATAGGTAAGCGAAAAGGTACTGCCAATGCTCGAATGCCTGAGAAGGTAACCTGGATGAGAAGGATGAGAATTCTTCGCCGACTGCTCAGAAGATACCGTGAATCTAAAAAGATTGACCGCCACATGTATCACAGCCTGTACCTGAAAGTGAAGGGTAACGTGTTCAAAAACAAGCGGATTCTCATGGAACACATCCACAAGCTAAAGGCAGACAAGGCTCGCAAGAAGCTCCTTGCTGACCAGGCTGAGGCCCGTAGGTCTAAGACCAAGGAAGCACGCAAGCACCGTGAAGAGCAACTCCAGGCCAAGAAGGAGGAAATCATCAAAACTCTGTCCAAGGAAGAAGAGACGAAGAAATAAAGCTCCACCTCTCTTACCTGTACATAGTGGCCTGTACTTACACTCAGCACCTCTAGCCATNCTTGATAATTGAATGTTATTTAACTAGATAATTTAATTAATTTACCAGGTATTTAATTTACTTGGAGAAAATACCAAAGAATAATCAAAGACATGTAAAACAATAAAGGGATTTGCCTTACCATGTGGCAAGGCACATTGTATGTCCAGAGTAATTAAAATGTTATGATATTGATGTAAAAATATGTAAGACAATCATTGACATGCACAGAAAATAATATTAACAAATCATATATATGTATATATATGAAAGCAATTTATAACAAAGGTGATATTTCAATTCAGTTATAGTAAGGGAATCACAAAAATAAATTCTAGAAGCATCCAAGTAGTAAACATAAAACAAAGCAAAGCTACAAATGTATTATAAGAAAAAAAAGAAATTCATTTTTAACATTAGGATGGGAAATAACTTTGCAAGCAAATCACAAACGAGAGTATTTCTCTTTATGGTAAAAACAAAGGTAAATTTGACATCAAAAATGTGCTTGAATATGACAAAGTCACTATAAAATTAAAATATGAGCGAAAGATGTAGGACATATCTGCAGCATGTATAAGGATAAATGACTAATATTTAGACTGTATTTTTAAAAACCTGTAAATATTTAAGGAACATAAAAATCCAATGCAGCCCAGAGTGGAGAAAGGAAATTCAAAAGAGAAGAAACCCAAAGGATCCACAAACAAGCCCAGGGATCAACCCTTTGAGAGTTGGACGTGTGGAAATAACATTGAGATATAATTTTTCTCCCACAAGATTTGCAAAATTGAGAACTATAAGAACGGCACCATCTAACTCTGCTGACGATGTAGGGAAATCGTTATTGTCATCCACTGGGGGATGGATTTGGTCAGTCTTCAAAGGACAACGCAAGTATTTATATTGATATGGTCAACGTGCTTCACTTTTGACCCATCATTTTCTCTTCCTGGTATCAAATCTAAAATAAGCTCATATGGGGAATAAAACACACTGAAAGTCACCAAGCTTTTTGCGTACCTTTGTACTTGGTATTCAAATATGAGGGGAAACGCCTTGACGTTCCTTACCAGGGGAAGGGTTACGGCACCCTACGTCCATATCGTGACGTACTACAGCACGTTCTCTCATTGGCCAACCCCTCTAGACGCCTCAAAGGTAGCTATAGTGTGGTGACTGTCTCCCTTCAACTTTAAATATAGCATCTCCAGACTTTTATTTGAAAATGATATGCACATATGAATATATGTGTATGCATATATACAAATTTGTACATATATACATACAAGTATATGCGTATACACATTGATATATGCAAATATATATGCAAATGAATAATTTTCCTTTGTATACATTTTTCTAAACACGAGACATTTTATGAGCTATGTATATTGTTTTGTAGTTTGTATTTGCGGGTTATTCATAGGTTGTGGAGATATACCAATAATAACCCATACAGTTTTTCCCTTACTTATATTAACCTTGGTTTAAAAAAGACTGATGACTGTAGGCACGGGGAGTGGTGTCTGCGTGTGTGTGCACATGTATGCATGCACGTACACGTGCTTGTGTCTGTGTAGCTTATTTTTTAATCGTTAATCTAAACTTGAATTCCTGGGATAAACCCAAATTAATCATGTGCATTTTCCTTATTTGTTTTCACTTGGTAACTTCGTTTGCCGATCTTTTGTTTAGAATGTTTGTATTCACATTTAAGAAAGAGATTGGCTTGTGGCTTTCTTTTCTACCACTGTCCTGAGTTTTCGCTGCACTATTTTAACAGTCATCTTTCTGTATAATAGTTTCCACATGTTCATTCATTCTGAGTGGCTTTAATGAGCTCTGTGTTAATGGGCCTCGCAGTTGAAATGTCACGCACTGCTTTGAACAGTGAGTGCTAAAAGGTGGAAAATAATAGTGTCTATTTTAAGTCTCAAGGTCTTTCAGTGACAATAGGAATAGGAGAGGGCAAAACGGAGTAATGAGGAGAGGACTTTGCATAGCAGGATCTGGGTTAATTAATTTACCCCAAATTAATCTGAAAAGAGCGGAAAATGGACTTCAGGTGCTTCCACTTACATGCATGTATTTTTAATTGCTAAGCTTTTTGTTGGAAATTGGCTTTATCTCTCTATATAACTAATCTAGTTATTTTAATGAAGGTGTGCTATAAACCTGAAGGCACAACAGAATATAGTAATTTACTCACTTTAATCCAGTCATCCTTTTATTTAAACAAATGATAAACATTGACAACAAGGTGTAAAATATGAAATAAAATGGAGGGGAAAGACTTCTAAATCGGTATTGTTCCAGCAGTGATAAAGTCACTTTCTTCTCCACGCTCTGCCAAGATGTCACCTATGTCACTTGCAGTTATGCTTATTTTTACTTAGTTCTTTGTGACCCTTGTACTTAGGACTTGGAGCAGTCCTCAGCCCCGGAGTCCTGAGCATTTTCAGATATCTCCGTGCTAGCAGGGGAAATCTGAAGTGTGCTCCACGAATTCCAAAAAGTAGAAAAAATAATTGACACAGTACCTGAGCATGATATGAAGATTCACCACTGTGTTTGTAGCACTTTCTAAGAAACATTCTTCTGAATAGATCACAACCCAAGACAGTATGAAAGTGAAGAGAGAAGGTGACTGTGCATGATGTCTCAGCAGTAGCGGCCCTAGGGAATCACAGAACTCCTCACCGGGTCCCTTTCACCTCAGTTTCTGACATGGACGACTTCACCACAGGTCCTAAAAGTGCTAGAAACTGCCGAACTTGATGTGTTCACCCACTATGACACATGAGAGATTTGGCTGTGCCGAAATAGCTAGAAACAGGCACCAGTGGAGCAGAAGCTTCTTGAAGGCAACAAGGGCTCTTTCCATGCCGTTTCCCCGCACCCAGCACGATGCCCTCCCCAGGCTGGGTGCTCAGTGTTAGCTGTTCGAGTGGCTGACATGTGTCTGGACAGCAGGGGCCATACCATTAACTTCCCTGGGACATCTTCCTCTAAGCGCTGGTCAGGTAAGTGAAGTCGATTTAAGCAGATACTTGATTTCCAAAGTAGAAGAAAACCGCTTCATTTGAATGCATAACTCAAGGCAGAAATAATGACAGCAAGTATTCCTGGTGAAGCATATGGTGTAAAATGAAGATTTAAAAATACGTCAAA